GCCAGAGCCTCCTCCTGAGCCCCGTGGCTGGGAGAGTGACTGATGTTCCCTCAGAGCACTCCAGCCAGTGACCTACATAGGGATGAGTGCGGAGCCCTCGCTCCTGTGAGCCACTGCTGGTGCTGGGACCCACGTGCCTGTGCCACTCCCAGCACCCCTGGGCAATGCTCAGGCAGGGCTGAGGGGCACAGCCACCCCTGGCACAGCCCTGGTGGCAGGGACAACTCCTGTGCCCTCAGCCAGGCCAGCCCAGGGCTCCTGGGGGAGACACAGTGACGCTTGAGCAGAGCCTGGAGCGCTGCTGAGAGGGAGGGGGCCAGCACTGCGAGGTCCTTCAGGGACATGGAGAGCTGGCCTTGGGGACAGGAGCTGAGCTGGACTCAGAGAGCACTGGGAATGTGGCTGGAGAAGGGGTTTCTCCCTGCTGGGGGCTGTGAGGGCTGAGCACAGGAGGGAGAAGAGCGGCTTGAGCGGAAGCGCTCGGTTGGCACGAGTACAGTGGGATGGAAACGGGTGTGATTCAGTGCCTGCAGGAAATGAGAAGGGCTGGGAGGCTCCCAGCAGCCGGGTTCTGGAAGAGCCTCCAAGAAGAGAAGCATGAGGGCAGGGCATGAGCTGGCTTCGTGGTGGAGCTTCCTCAGCGAGGAAGCAGATTTGGGGTGTGCAAGCTGCCCCAGGAGCTGCTCCAAGTCCTCCATCCTCGAGTCCCACGCATGCTCTGATCCGAGAACAAACGCCTCGAGTCCTCCCAGAGCCAAGGCAGGATTAGGCTCTGCTCTGATGTGTCATGAGCCTGGTTCCTGCCCCTCCAGAGCTTATCCTCCAGTGCTGCCCCAGTCCACAGCCAGCAGCACCTCTGTCCCCTCTGCAGATCAGGAAAATCAGACGTGCTGCCCCACAAAGGCACTACCTTGCCAGCAGAGCTGGGTCATTCACTCCTCTCCTCTGTGGTTCCAGGAGAACCTGACTTCCTCCCTCATAAATCTCATCTCCTGGCTTCCTGTGTCCTGAGAAGAAGATTTATGTGTCTGCCTCGTTTTTCCCTCTTCCGTGGCATTACCAGCAAGGGTGAAGGAGAGGATAGGTGGAGAAAGGGCTGAAGCTGGCAGGTAACTTTACAGTCAGGGCAGTGAGAAGCAGGGCTCTGACCTCTGAGGGCAGCCCTGCAGCATCACAGATGTGTCCCACGATGTCCTCTGCAAACCCAGCAGGTTTAGTGCCTCTTATTCACAAAATCCACCACCCATGGTGGCCAGAGAAACCCAGTGCTGGGGCTCTCTGAGGGGTGTCCATGAGAAGAGATTCCTGACGTTTCCTCAGCTCCTGGGGTCACTCAGCAGAGGAGATCATTCCCAAGTGTGTGAGCATCCAGCAGAGCTCATGGCATGTCACAGTGGCATCACCTGCTTTCACCTGTACATCCCCCATGTGATTTGCTGTCTCACTTTATACATGTGCCTGGATTTCCCATAGGAACCAGAGAAGAAAACCACTCAGACCTTAAAAAATTACTGAGATGGAGGGTCCACCATTGTGCAAAACCTTTCCAAGCTGTTCCTGTGCCAGCTGGCCTCACTTTTTAAGGAAGTTGCTTCTCTGACATGCCAACATGCATTTCCAGCTGCCATGAACAGAGCTTGGAGCTGCCACTCAGAGCCCCATCCGGCACATTCTGTGCTCCATGCCCCCTGCCTTCCTCTGAACCGGCCTTTTTCCTTCCTTGCTCTTCATTTTCTCCCCTTTCCTCAGTTTCCCTCTGTGCTCAGGACCGTGGGATGGTTACGAGCAGAGACGTGCTGCTGAGCTGCTTTTAACCCACTTCAAGCGTGCCACTTTGCTTTTGGGATCATCCTGCTTTCTTCATCGAAATGTCAAATGCCTCACAGAAATCCGAGTGTGCTCTGCCGAGGCTTTTACCTCCCCTGACCAAACTTGGAACCTCATCAAGCCCGGCAGCAGCAAATGGGTTTGATGAGCCGTGCTCTGCTCAGCCCCGCGCTGCCTGGCGTGGCTGCCTCACGCTGCCCTCCTTCACAGGGGATTAGTCAGGCACCAAGCCCATCCCCTGGGCGGTTCCAGCCCACCTGCATCCCCCAGATCACCGCGCCGGGCTCTGGGGCTCCCTGTCCCACCCACTGGGCTCTCCTGAGGTCGCCGTGCAATGACGAGTCCAAGGAGGATCCTGGTGTCCAGCAGAGTGGAGCACCCGGGCTCCTGCTTTGGCTTCAGGTTTCTCCTGGAGGGAGGAGTGACCACAGCTCTGGGGTCCTGTTGGAGTAGACCCCAGAAGGGGCTGTGGTGGGCTCAGGACCTTGGAGGGGCTCCAGCAGCCCCAGGATTGAGGTGCTGGGCACCATTGCCCAGTCAATGAGCTTGAGAGTGGCTGGGAAATGCTGGGTGCCAGCACTTCCTGAGTGCTGAGATGTCCTTTGGAGCCAGCAGCAGAGTTCCCCGGGTTCAGGGACAGCCCGGGAGGGTCCATCAGACCCTAGATTGGACCATCCTGACCCCCCCCCACAGCGGGGCTCGTTATCCATGCTCGGGGATGCCGGTGTGCTGCAAACAGCGCCCGAGCGGGGCACTAAACCCAAGCACGGCACGGAGGAGAAAACGCAGGGATGCGTGGGAGGGTCCTGGCGCGGCTCTTTGACATCCTCGCAAGTGTTCCCAAACGGAGTTGCTCCATGTATAATTTATAGGCTTCCCTTTGTCCTTGTGGCTCGTCTCTGATCTGCCGGCGGTTCGGGAAGGCCGAGGGTGCTCCGGCGAGGCCCCGCTGAGTGACAGCGCCGCGTTTGCTGCGTCGGCAGGGGACCGGCCCCGTCCCACGCTGCGGCAGCCACGGCTCGCCCCGGGCCCCGGCGCAGCATCACAGGGGCTGCTCCTGCTTTTAAACCGTGCCAGCCGCGCTCCTGCCCCGTGCCCGGCGCTCGGAGCCCTTCCCAGCACCCATCGAGGACCCTCTGGAGCAGCCTGGCACACTCGGGCTCCTCTGGGCTCCAGATGTGGCCAGCGGCTCCCTGTGCCCTCCCTCGTTGCCCTTTGCTGCCGGGCACGCCAAGCTCTGGCACAGGGACAGAGGTGACCCCAAGTCTGTGACGGGGCTTCAAGGGCGGCTCAAATATCGCTGATATCGCGACAGGCGGTGCCCAGGCCAGCGTGGGTGCCCCGGGCCGGGAGGGATGAAGCGAGGACGGGCGCCTCTGGCTGCAGCCCCAGCCAGCTCGCTCCTCCAGCTCGCTGCTCCGCCTGTTGCTGTCCATACTAACGAGCAGCCCCATCCCGTCCCTCGTCTCGTCCTGCCTCGCAGACATCTCCGGGTGTCTGGGCACGGCTCCAAGCTCGGGCGGCGCGTGGAGCAGCATCCCGACGAACCCGGAGCGGGGCGTGCGGGGCCGGGGTGGGCGCGGGGAGGGCTCGGAGACCCCCGGCTCCGCTGGGGCAGCGCTCACCGCCGGCCTGGGCAGCGCTGGAAGTTTGGCCGTGCCGGCGCTGGGGACTCCGGGCTGCTCTGCTGAGTCAGCGCTTCGTGCCAGCAGGAACAAGGCAAGACAGGGAGGGGACCGGGGGAGGGGGGTGTCTGAGCCGTGTGTCCGTCCGCAGTGAGGGCAGGGAGGCTGCGGAGACAGCGAGGCTCCTGCCTGGGCTGTGCTCTGGGGATGGGGGACACGGGACACGGTGTGGTGCGACAAAGCTGAACCGCTGCTCGCTGCGGCTGGAATCTCTGGTTTTGGCTGCGGCCCAAAAGGAGCCGACGGCCTCCCCTGCAGCCCCGGGACGTCCCGGCTGGGCTCCCGGTGTGCCCCGTGCTCCTGGTGCCCGGGCAGTGTGAGGGGCCGGCGGGGCTGGGTGCTGGGGGAACGGCAGGGATGGGGCAGCAGAGGGGTTCCCCTTGCAGCTGTGGGGAGCGGGAGCCCTGCAGGGCCGTGCGGGGACAATGGCAGGGACAGGGACAACGGCAGGGATGCAATCCCTGGGTGCAATCCCCCCTGTGACCCCGGGTCCTGCCCCCGTGCCGCCTGTGAAGCGCTGCTGGAGTCAGTGGCATCCCCCGGCCTCACTGAAGGTTCTCCCTCCTGCTCGTCCCCATGTGCCTGAAGTGGCTCCGTGTCCCCAAGCCACTGTCTCGCCACTGCTCGCAGAGCTGGTCCCACATGCCTGCAGCCCAGCCAGCACCTCTGGTGCCCAATCCGGCCACAACCACCCGTGACACGTCCCCTGTGTCACCCTGGCCATGCCCCAGGCAGGATGGGGACCCCATGCCCATCCTGCCATGTCCCGTGCTGGATGGGTGCCCCATGCCTTGCCCATCCCCGCAGAGCTGGGGCCCGCGCCCAGCTCGCGTCCGTCTGTCCGTCCCTCACGGACAGCAGCCCCTTGCCCTGGCCCCTGCCCTGCCCTCCCGCACACGAGGCACCAGCCCTGGCGAGGCAGAGCTATTTTTAACAGCCGCTTCTGCTTGATTTGAGCTGTGAACTCGGAACGTGTTTATGCTAAAGGGCTTTCTTTTCCCTTCTCCCTTTGTGCTGAGGAGGCAGCGCCGCAGATCAAAGCCTGTCTCTTCGCGTTTGCTGATGGTGGGCTGGGGGGGAGCCGAGCCGGGAGAGGCCGGCACTTCCACGGGGACACTCGTGTCCTCGGGGGCCGCGGTGGCGTGGCCGGCTCTGACGCACCTCTCTTTGTCCCCGCAGGTCCGGGAGCCATGGGCGGGCACGGCGGGCACCGGGCGGCCCGCAGCGGGCGGCGCTGAGCCCGGGCGGCCGCGGCGGGACCATGAGCGGCTGCGGGCGCCGGCGGGGAGCGGCGGAGCCGGGCTCGGCCGTCGGGGCGGCGCGCCGGGGGCTGTAGGGCCGGGCGGCGGGCAGCGATGCCCTGCGGCCCCTCGCCCACCTCCCGCCCAGCATCCCCCGTCCGTGGCGGCGCGGGATGAGGCTGCCCGCCGGCCCAGCAGCTCCGGGGAACGGCCGCAGCCCAGGGCTCCGGCCCCGCGGCCCTGAGCCATGGTCAGCCGTGAGCCCGTGCCCGGCCCGGCCCCCGCCGGCGAGGGCGGCCAGGAGAAAGCCATGACGGTGCGCTCGGTGCTGCTCAACCGCGACTCGCCCGACATCGAGAGCCGCCTCAAGCGCCGGCGCAACCGCACGCAGCAGGTCCGCTTCAAGGACCTGGTGGAGGCCGGCGCGGGGCGGGCGGACAGCCCCGGGCCCGCGGCCGGTCCCGGCCACAACACCCCACGTGCCTCGCCGCCCCCCAGGGACCCCCCTGAGCCGGCGGCTCTCCGTGCCTCGCGGCGCAGCTGGCCCCAGGCGCAGCCGGGCTCGCTGACGCTGCCCATGCCCAGGAAGGCGTGCATGAGCACCGCCATCCAGACCTCCCCCAGCCTCCAGAAGCCCTTCCCGGCCCCCCAGCCCCGCAGCAAGAGCGTCTGCGATGTGGCGGAGGATGCGCTACCGCCCGCCGCGGCGAGCGCCCGGTGCCCGGCAGCGGCCGTGCCCACCGTGCCCGGCTGGGCCGTGCCCCCGCGGGCCCCCGGCGGCCTCCCCGGCCACGATCGCACCGCTGCCCTCGCCCAGCACGCCAAGGCGCGCCGCACCCCGCCGCCGCCACCACCCAGGGACCCCCCTCCCCCTTACCAGGGCACTGCCGGGTGCCCCGCTGCCCGCTGCGCCCCTCCGGTGCAAAGCTGCACCCCCGAGCCCTGCCCGCCACCCCCAGCCTGCGCCCAGCTCCGCGGGAGCCCCCGGGGCAGCCAGGGGGTCACCCCACGCCCGGCCTCCGTGCCCTGCGGCCAGCCCCGGCCGCCCGCCGAGCACCGGGGGCTCGGCCGGAGCGACTCGGAGCGGAGCCTGCCCTGCGGCCGCGCCCCGTGCCAGCCCTCGCCGCAGCGGCGGCAGCCCGTCCCCGCCACGGACACCCAGGGCCCCCTCCGGCAGCCACCTCAGGGCACCCCCCCGCGGGACCCCCCGGCCCCCCAGCACCAGCTCTGCGCCGCCATTTGGGGGGGACCCTGCTGCGCCTCGCCAGCCCCCGTCCCACCGGCCCCACCGGGCTGGCACGGCTCGGACAAGACACCGGCCACCCCCGGCACCTGCAGCCGGCTCCGTGCCGCCCAAGCCGGGCACGGCTGGGCAGGACCCGAGGGGCCCGGGGAGCCGCCACCCACGGCCCCACAGGGCCCCAGCGTGGGGACACGAGCGGAGCCGCCCCGGCACGGCCAGCCCCGCCCTGCCGCTGAGCAGCCCGAGACGCTGCACCACGTCCAGGACCTTCTGCAGCTGGTGGTGGTGGCCAAGGGGCCCGTGGGACCACCAGCGAGGGCTGAGGACGCCCGGACATCTCAGGGAGAGGGCCCCCGGGGGCCCGGGGAGCAGGGAGACCTGCATTCCCAGCTGCAGTCCCTGGAAGGGGTGCTGGAGACCAGCCAGCAAACCATCCGGGTGCTGCTGGACGTCATCCAGGACCTGGAGAAGAAGGAGGCGCAGCGGGATGGGTGAGTAGGAGGGGACAGAGTGGGGGGAGCTGTGGGGACAATGCCCCGGGGGCTGGGGATGGAGGATGGGGGACCCTGACAGAGATTTGGATGCTGCTGCTGCCTCCTGAAGGACTGAGAAACTCAGAGCTGCTGTCCATGTGCTCGTGGCTCCAGGTTTTGCTGAGAGGCCTCATGTGCCCAGGGATGGGGGATGAGGGGGTGCTGGGTTCCTGCCTGGCTCTGCTGATTTCTCCATTGGTCACTGGGAGCAGGGATCTAGAATGTCACATCCCAACAGCAGGCTTAGCCAGGCACCCCATCCCTGCCCCGTCCCTGGAGGTTCCTTTGGCACAAATCCATGGCCGGTGCCCCCATGGATGATGGGTTTGGCTGCATCCCAGGGAGGTGCTCAGCACCCCCATCCTGCCCTGCCCAGGGCCTGCTCCCAGGGGCAGGGAGTTGCCCAGGCCTGCATTCCTTGGCCTCCCAGGCAGATTTGCCAGATGGAGGAAGGTGAGGAAGGTGTTCTAGGTCAGCCCACCATGGCCTGAAGCTGAAATGGTCCAAACTCATCTCCCACAAGGGCAACCAACAAAACCCTAAGAGATGCCAGGCCTGGCATCCTCCTGTAAAATCTCTGGGGCTTGTTCCTGATGCCCAGATCCATCCATTAAATCAGATGGTTTTGGCTGTGAGTAAAGCACAGGGAACATTGTCCCCATTGCCCCTGTCCCACCCCTGGAGCGCTGCCAGTGGAGAGAGACCCCTCAAGGGTCTGGGACACCTTAATTAGGACCTCAACTCCATTTACTGTTACAGTCAAACAAGCAAACAGGACACCCAGAGATAGGAAATCACCCCAAACATTGTCCTGGTGTCCTTGTGCTGCAGAACAGCAGAGCCTCGTTTGCCACAGGTCAGATCCCAGGTGCTCACTGCACACCAGAGCAGAACCACCAGCCCTGAGACATCCTGGCACCGACCACCAGCAACATCCCACCAAAAATTATACATATAAAACATGAAAGTATCCCAGGATGAGCTCTCCCAGCAGAGGGGGGCTGTTGTACAACGCCAGAGCTGCAGGCACACACACATTTACGTACCACACATATATATATATATATGTATAAAGGGCCTCATGATCTAATTCAGGTGCTGGCAGAATAAATCCCCATTGCAATGTGTAATTTGGTGCATTTGCAGACCCAGTTTCTGAGGGCTGAGAACAACCATGGTCAAGGTCGAGTAACAGGAGGAAGATTTCAATGAGGAAATGTGATGTGGATGTGGGACATGTCCTGTCAGCTGTGCCCCCAAAATCCACAGCCCTGAAGGGGCCCCAAAGGGACCAAAAGCATTCACAGGGCTCCTTTTGGGCAGAGCAGAATGAGCAGGGACCAGCAGTGCTGGGGTGCAGGAGGACCCCAGTACAGCCATTGGGATCAGGGTGTCTCAGGGTTGGGGTCTGGCACCAGCAGCAGTGAGATGTGGGGTGAAGACCCCTTCTGTGGACAGGGGGGAGGATGCAGCAGCATGAGCTCAGCCTGGGCAGGAATCAGCTTAATCCAAGCCCTGTGCACCTTCCTGGAGGAGGAGAAGGATGCTCTGGTAGAAAAACATCAAAAAGATAAATTCCGAGTCTGGCGTAGGCTGGAGATGAGTCTGGAGCATCTCCTGTGCCCATCTGCCAGGGCACGGCTGTGCCAGGGCAGCACCACGTGCCTTGTGCTCCCTCCATGGCACCACGTGTGGGGAGAGGTGTGGGGAGCCTTGGGATGCTGAGGACTGGGATGGGGATGGGAGGGGAGGACACAGCAGGAAGGGTTTGGGGGTGCCACAGTGCCCAGCAATGGTGTGATCCCATCAGAGAAGCACCTGGGTTGGAATTAATTGGGATCACATGGGAGGAGAGGGGATGGATCCCAGAGAGGAGAGGGGGTAGGATCCAGGGAGGAGATGGATCCCAGAGGGGAAAGGGGCTAGCATTCAGGAGGGGGGATCCCAGAGAGGAAGAGGAGCTTGGATTCAGAAGGGGATACAGGGTGAAGAGGGTCTGAATGCCAGGGAGAAAAGGAGCTGGGATCCAGGGAGGAGAGTCCTGGCTGCTGGGGTGGGACAGGGGCAGCAGAGGACTCGGGCAGACGCAGAGCAGGGCCCCAGGCTCACGGCACATCTCTGTCACAGGCGCCACTCGTACCGGACCGGGCAGGACATCGCCAACTGCGGGACCTGCCGGGACTGTGCCTGCATCATCTACAGGTGAGGGCCTGAGCCCTGAGCTCTGAGCTCTGAGCACCCCCTGGGCTCTGCTTCCCTGCACCCCCAGACCTCTCCCCTGGCTGTGAGGCAGCAGGGAGGGTGACAGCCAAACCCACACCTCCTGTCCCCGTGTTGGGGGCACCACGCACAGAGCACTTTTGGGCTGGGTCTGTCCCTCCCTCGCTCCCTGCAGATCAGGATCAGCCAGGGTGATCTCCATGGAGGAGCAGCATCTGGAAGGGGCTGCTCTAGCACCATGGCAGAGCATTTCTCTCCTGTAGCAGCAATCTATCGGGGAAGCCTCGCTAGTGGCTGCTGCGTGGGCTCGCTCCAAATCCAGCCTGCATCCTGTTGTCCCTGTGCCAGCTCTGCACAGATGCTGCAGATGGGCTCCTGCCCCTCACTATGGTTTGGGAACACAGGGCCTGGGCTCTGCTCCCCAGCACTGGCTCTGGGCCAGGGTGTGGAATCCCCTCCCTCTGCTGCACTCTCTCCTCAGATCCCAGCTGGGGTGTGGGAAAAGGCATCCCATGCCCTCCCAGCATTGTATTTGGGGGAAATGGGAGGCTTGCAGTTTTGTTAAAGCTTTCTGCCCTTCCAGGCACCCCTGGGTGTCCTTCTGTCCCTCTGGCTGTCCCCTCTGCAGTGCAGGTGGCTGGCCAGGTGTGTCCCCATTTGCTGTTAATTAGGGGATGCTGATGCTGGTAGCGCTGGGATGTGTAGGACACGGTGAGCTGGTCCCAAGCCATGCTCTGTGGTGCCTGATCACCGTGGTGCACCTGTGCCACTGCCCTGCCATGCTCTGTGAGCACTGTGCCCCCTCCTTGGGGCACCTCAGGCTGGGGGTGCCCGCCTGGGGTTCCCTCGTGTCCCTGTGCTCAGTGGCGGCGCTGCCTCAGCGCTCCTGCTCCCCACACTTGCTCCACACTCCCCTGCTGTAGCTCTTGGAGGACTTCAGGCTAATTAGGCCTGACGAGCCTGTCTCCAGGCACCATGGCAGCAGCACAGATGTCACATCTGGGGGAGGTGGCTCCCCAGAATGGCCTCTGGGGACTCACTGTGGCTTTCGCTGCCACCCATGGGATGAGGAGAGGCTCTGGGGGGACACAGGGTGAGGGAGCAGGGGCAGCACCCCCAGCACCAGACCCCAGGGATGGCCCATGGAGGGATCAGACCTGCCCGGCCCTGTCCCACCTCAGGCTCCCACAGCAGTGCCATCCCCTCCCTGTGTCACTGCAGGGGAGTTGAGGCTGCTCCCTGCTCTGCCCCCCTCGCCCTGTTCTCTAGAAATGCCCGGGACACTCCTTGTCCTCGCCAGGGGAGGTGACAGGAGGTGACAGGAGGTGACAGGAGGTGTCAGCACGCCGGGGGGGGGCTCGTGGGGCGCTCCCCGTGTGCGGGGTGGCAGCGCCACGTGGTCGTTCCCGGGCACACTCGGTGTCACCTCGCTGATGCGATGGGACGTGGCTGGTGCGAGGAGATTGACGCGTTCTCCGCCCGAGGGAACAGCGCAGCACGAGGCTGCCGGCAGCCAGCCCGCACCACAGGGAGCTGCGGGGACACCGGGGGCTGCGGGGACAGCGGGGCTGCAGGGACAGCGGGGACACCGGGGGACACCGGGGGCTGCGGGAACAGCGGGGGCTGGGGGACATTGAATTCCCCGGGGGCTGTGCTGGGGACACTGAGCTGGCCAGGGGGTGTGTTTGGAGTGCCAGGGGCTGTGTTGGGGACATTGAGCTGCCCGAGGGCCATTTTTGGGGACATGGGGGCTGTGTTGGGTACACTGAGCTCCCCGGGGGCTGTGCTGGGGGACACTGAGCGCCCCGGGGGCTGGTTTGGGGACACGGGGGCTGTGTTGGGGACACTGAGCTGCCCGAGGATGGTGTTTGGGGGCTGTGGCAGATGGGGGGGTGCGACAAGGGGATGCCACGCTGCCCTCTGACACGGTCCCCGCGTGCCACAGCGTGGAGCACGATTTCCGACAGCAGGAAGGTCGCTTCCAGCGGGTGCTGAGCCACATCGAGGGCGACGCGGGGCCGAGCTCCCCCCCGACGGCGCTGGGGGCGGCGGGGGTGGCGCTGGGGGCGGCGGGGACCCCCTCACCGCCCAGGCAGGAGCCGTCGCCCGTGTCGAGGCTGCCGGCAAAGCTGGACGTGAAGAAATCGCGGCGCAAATGCTTCTGGTTCCTGTGAGCCCGGAGCGCGGGGGCGCCGTCCCAGCACTGAGCCCCTGCCCACCTCTCCTCCCTCCCTCGGTAGGGTTTGGGTAGCACCAGCTTTTCTATTTTTAACCATTCCGTTGAACGCGGGGAGCTCGGGTGTGTGGAAACGGCGAGGGGAGCAGCGGCTGTATTTAAGGAGAATTCAATAAATTCCAAGGAGACGCTATTTTTGTTACATCCTCTCCCGCCTGTGCGCTTCTGTTCTGGAGGAGGATGAGAATGAGGAGGGGGCAGCTGTTTTCCCTGGATTTCCCTCTGTTTGGGGTTCCCTGAGGTGCTCCAGACTCAAATCAGTGCCCAGCCCTGAACCCCACAGCGGGGGCTGCTCAGCCATCCCTCCCATTGCTTCCTGCAGGTTAACTGGGAACACCGAGGGTTTCCACTGGGCAGAGACAGTGGGGAACGGTCTCTGTGAGGCTCTGGTCTGGAGAGAGGAGATCTGTCCCCAAAACCCCCGGGTGGAAGGGTAGGCTGGGCAGGGCTCTCATGGGTGGGGAAGATGCTGATGACAGAAATGAGGAGCTCAAATATCCCAGCCCCTGTGGGGCTGCCACGGCAGGGAAAACTCAGCATCTCAGAGCAGCAGGGGGTGCCTGAGCACACCCTGAGGAGTGCCTGTAGTGGGAGCAGCCACAGCTCCCCCAGCAGGGCCACCACTCCGGGAAGGAAGGAAAGGGGACATGACCCAGCCTCCTGCAAAGGCACTGGCCACAGAGAGCAGCTGCTGGAGCCACAGAGGGGAACAGAGGGTGGCAGGAGGGGCCACAGCTCTCCAGCTGGTGCCCACAGGGTTAAACCCCACCCCTTGTGCCAGGGACACCCCGGGGGCTGCAGCTGGGACAGTGGCCAGGGGCACAACTCCCTTCTTGCCCAGCAGCCACAGGATGGATGGATGGATGGATGATGGATGGATGGATGATGGATGGATGGATGGATGGATGATGGATGGATGGATGGATGATGGATGGATGGATGATGGATGGATGGATGATGGATGGATGGATGATGGATGGATGATGGATGGATGGATGATGGAGGGATGATGGAGGGATGGATGGATGGATGGATGGATGGATGGATGGATGGATGGATGATGGATGGATGATGGATGGATGGATGATGGAGGGATGATGGAGGGATGGATGGATGGATGGAGGGATGATGGAGGGATGGATGGATGGATGATGGATGATGGATGGATGGATGGATGGATGGATGGATGGATGGAGGGATGATGGATGGATGGATGATGGATGGATGGATGATGGATGGATGATGGATGGATGATGGATGGATGGATGGATGGAAGGAAGGAAGATGGATGGATGGATGATGGATGGATGGATGGATGGATGATGGATGGATGGATGGATGATGGATGGATGATGGATGGATGGATGATGGATGGATGATGGATGGATGATGGATGGATGGATGGATGGGTGCTGTCCTGCTGTGGGCACAGGGATTTTTGGTCCCCTCAGCCCCTCCCAGCAGCTGGAGCTGGAGGGTCTGGGGCCCCCGACAGAGGCAGGGGCTGTGGCAGCATCAGGGGTTGTGCAGAGGGAGCTGCCAGAGGGCGCCTGTGGAGCCACGAGCGAGAGCGGGAGCGCGGCACAGCTGAGGATCGCTCCGTGCTGCCCTGGGCTGCATTTCACCCTCATCCCCCCTCGCCTCCATGGCTGCCCGGCGCTTTCGGCTCTGACTCACAGAGCCTGAGAACGAGGGGTAAAAGCAGGGATGGAGCCCAGCGCGACCCCGCACGCATCTCCTCCCTGAGTCACGGCTGAATCACAGCCCGGCGCTGGGATCGCCGCACGGCCCCGGCGGCGGAGCCTCCGCTCCGGCTGCCCGCAGCGCCCCGGGACGGCACGGCACGGCACGGCACGGCACGGCACGGCACGGCACGGCAATTCCCCGCTCCGAGCTTCCAGAACGCACACCAAGACAGCTCATCGCCCACCCAAGGACGCCGTGCAGCTCCTGGGTTTGTCCCCAGAGAAGATGCCGAGCCCCGGCTCTGTCCCCTCCCATCGCTGCTCCTCTGACCCGCCTCCCTTCCCGCGTGTCCAGCGTGCTCCTCGTACCTTTTTGGCATGTAAAACTGCGACGGTTCACCGGGTTCAGCCGATATTTCCAGATGATGCAGCCCAAACCCTTCACTGCTCCCAAAAGAGCTTTTCCTGCTCCATCTCCCCCCTGCTCTCAGGCTGCTCCAGCTCCCGCTTCCCCCTGCATCCCGTTGGGCGCATCCCTGGCATCCATCCCCATCCTGCTGGGTGCTGGCAGCAGGGCCAGCGAGGAGCAGAGCCAGTCACACCCAGCCAGGCCCCCAAAGTCGTGACACCCCTCCCGTGTGGCCCGAAGGGAAGCGGCACAGTGGGACTCACCCTCAGCGGGTTCTCCCGGTCCAGGACGATCACCCTGCGATTGACCGTGTGGAGCAGCCGCTCCAGGATCACCTGGATGTGCTTCTTCACCTGTGCCTGCAAGGTGAGAGGTGGCAGGGCCATGGCAGGGCACGTCCCAGCTGTGGGAGGTGTCCCAGCATGGCTCATTCAAGGGCTGGTGACATCGGGGTGGTGACACGGGAATGGAGCCTGATCCGGAGCTGGAGTCAGAGCAAGGCAATGTGCTCCAGCAAAAAGATGGGATTTGGGATCTCTGCACACCTCTCTGGCACTGTGGCCACGTGGCTGGGGACAATGGGGACAGCCAAGGATGGCTGAGGATGATGGGGATGGTGCTGGGCAGGTAAAGGTGGGATCAGCTCTCATGGGGTTGAAGCAAGAACAGAGTCTTCCCCCAAGAGAGTCCCACCATACACTCCATAAAGGTTATTTCACACATTTCACCACAATTTCTGAGCTTTCTGTCCCATTCCTGGGCTTCCTGGTGCTGTGGGGATTAATGAACCACCTCACCCTCCCAGGACACAGTGTCCAACTCAGCTCCCACAGTCACTGTACTGCAGGTGGGACACCTGAACCCCCCCAAGGGCCCCCAGAAGGGACCCCAGAGCAGCCAGGAAGGGCAGGAACAGAGCCTTGTGTATTCCCAAACCATTCCCTGTGTTGCAGGGACACTCACCAGTTCCATGTCCCCACGGTCCTTGTGCCGCGCTCTCAGCTTCTCTGCACTCTGCAATCACCAAAACAGAGATGAGACCCCCAGGAATGGCCCCAGCCCACCCCAGACAGGCCACATTTGGGTGGGTGGGTGCCCACCATGTCCCTGCCTCATGTTTGGGGCCATCACTCTTCATTTTGGACTGTGATGCTGCCCAGAGGGTGACTGGCAATCACTGACCAGCAGAATTTCACCCCAGGTATAAGGCCATTGAAATTTTAGTTACATTTGGCCTGTCCCAAAATAGAATTGGGAAAAGACAAAAAGAAAAAGTGCCTTGAATCAGGAAGGAAACCAAAGAAAATATGAAGCTTAACCAGATATCATACTTGTGCCTTATTACTTCATTGTTTGCCTTAAGTAACGTGATCCTGCCTGTGAGTCAACCAAAAACCAGTGTTTGGGTGACCTTGGCCAATGCATCAGGCTTGGACACCATTTGTTTGATTTATTCAAAGCCAGAAAAGCCATTCTCAACCTGCTTGGTCTGGTTGGCCAATACCACAAAATGTCTCTCCAGATCTTACACGATTTATTATCAATGCGTCCTCACCTTCCTCCCTTCCCTCACCCTCACTCTCTTCCTCCCTCTCTCCATCTTCCTCCCAGCTCTGCAGAGCTGCTGATGTCCCCACTACCCTCAGGTCAGTGTCATCCCTGAGCATGGAAGCCTCTTCCCCACTCATGGGGGTGTTGGGCAACCCAGCAGAAACTCACTGAGGTGGAAAACACAAGGTTTGTGTCCCACCCTGGGCATGTTCCTGCTGGGATGGTGACACCCACAGTCAGTGATCTCCAACAATATCCTGGCCAGGAACTGGTGATTAACCCCACTCAGAGGGGTTTGGTCAGGTCACTGCCCAGCTGATTCCTGCTTTACCTTCTGGGCCTGGTACAGAACTTCCAGGATGCTGCTGAGCAGCTCGATGCAGGCGTCCTCCTCCTCCCCTGCCTCAATCAGCTCCTGCAGGATGGGCAGGGCTGCCTGCAGCACCAGCTCCCTGCACTCTGGGGGACACAAGGGGACACAGGCATGAGGGAATTGTCCCCAGCTATGGAGCCATCCCAGCCATGAGGGAATTGTCCCCAGCTATGGAGCCACTCCGGGCATGAGGCAGAGGAGGGGTCCCTGCTCAGGGACTCATCCCCACCCTTTGCATGGCCTCTGGGTGAGCTCAGCAAGGGCAGTGCCCCCAGGACCCCTCTCACCATGGCACTGGAAGGCTTTGCTGCTGGCAATGTCAGTCAGGGACTGCAGCTTCTGCTTCAGCAGGCGCTGGGGCTGCAGGTTCCCCACAAAGTCCCTCAGCACGGCCCTGCCAGCAGGAGAGGAGTTAAAGCAGGAGCTCCAGGTTCTGCTCAGGATGGGTGGGGGGAGCCCCTGGATGGGGCAGGATGGTCCCACAGGGCAGCTGTGCCCACCACAGGCACCCAGCAGGCAAACCCTGCCTGAATTCCCAAAATGAAGCCAGCAGGGGCTGAGTTCCCAGGCTAAAACTGAGCAGAACTCTCCCATTTTTGCACTGGGAAGGGGATCAGGAGGTGATTCCAGACCCCCCTGCCTGCCCTTGCCCTCAGCTCTGTGCTGGAGGCAGGTACAGAGGTGGCTGTGGCAGGTGCTGAGCAGCACAGGGGGCTGGGCTTGGTGGGGACACAGGGACCCTACCCCAGAGTGGAGGAGTCAAAGATCCCAAACACGTCCTCAAGGATGGTGGGCAGGTACTTCAGAGCTGCTCCCTGCAGGGACACCACAGAGCTGCCTTCAGACAGGGCTCCCAGAGCACCCCCTGGGCAGCCCCAGCCCCTGGGCCAGCCTGTCCCAAATGCAGGGAATCCAGGTCAGATCCAGCATGGGGACAACCCCCAGGAGCTCTTCCCAGATTTTCCCCTGCAGAATTCAGCACATGGGTGGCCAGGACTGTGCCCAGCTGCTGAGCCAGATCCACAGCTCAGCCCCAGGGCAGTGAGGGGCTGGGGGGCTCAGGGTGCACTGGGGGGACCCTGGGGACAGCAGGGCAGCACACAGGGTGGCAGCTGCTCCTGAGG